GGGGAGGAGAGGCCGGGCAGAACCGCGGGGCCAGCACGGTGTGGACGAGAGCCCGGGCAGAACCGCGGGGCCAGCACGGTGTGGACGAGAGCCCGGGCAGAACCGCGGGGCCCAGGGCAGTCAGGATGCACGACTCAGCGTCCCGCATGAACCACATGGGGTGTGCTCCTGCTTGGACTTACCTGCACCGTCTGTACCGTGTAGATTTTCTTCAGGTTTGATGCGCACTCGGCTGCTGTGGCCCCAGGGAGAGATCTAAGTGAACAAACAAAAGGGCAGAGACAGCAGCGAGCAGTCAGTGTGCGTGCACCAGTCCACAGGAGCCTGCAGGCATCAGGCAAGTCGGGCTAGACCAGCCGTGGGCAAACTACGGCCCGCGGGCCGGGTCCGGCCCGTTTGAAAAGGAAAAAAACAAACAAAAAAAAAAAAAAAAAAAAAAAAGACCGTACCCTGTTATGTAATGATGTTTACTTTGAATTTATATTAGTTCACACAAACACTCCATCCATGCTTTTGTTCCGGCCCTCCGGTCCAGTTTAAGAACCCATTGTGGCCCTCGAGTCAAAAAGTTTGCCCACCCCTGGGCTAGACCCTCTGACTCACATTCCTGGGACCTATTTACAATTTAAGATGTGAAATTCCTACTTTCTGAAGTCATGGGTTTGCTTTTCTAAAAATAAACTTACTCATTCTGTGGGAATTTAGTAGAAAAAACCTGAAATGTATCTAAGAAAGGTATTGGAAACCTCAAAATCACATTTTAAAAAACCCTAAAATAACCTTGTAATGACCAAGCCTTTTGCCTAAGACTTTGGACAAGAAAATGTGCCTATGCCCAGGTGACCATGACAATGCAGGGTCCTGACCGGTTCCCTGTGTGAAGCCTGTAGTCTCCATGGCAAATGTGAACTTGAGGCAGGCGTCTGTGCGCGGAGGACACATATGACCAAGGTCACCTTTGTGACCCAGGGACTTGCATGTGTGTCAAAACACTTGCCTTTGGGAAAGTCAGTTAATTTCCGTGGCTGATTGAATTACCTCTGCGATCTCTGTGGTCGGAATACGTTAATCTTCCATTTGCCCATGTTCCACTAGATGGCAACATACTACGGTTTATTCAGTAGAAAGCCAGGCAGCTGCCTGGGACGGGTAACATGACATGATATCATCACTCCTTAGAAAACTCTGTGACATGCACGCTTTCTTTCTCCCTACATGGAATCAGCAGTTTTTGCTCAAAAATGATGTGCCCGCCACATCAGACCTAAGGTGAGAATTCACACTCAAAATAATGCTTCCCAGCACCATGTCTGTCCACTGGCCAGACAGAGGTGTGCTGAGGGCGCGTGCTGGCTTGTGGCTGACCCACAGGGATCGATGAAAGGGACGCTCTTTACCGACCCTCAGAGGCAGACCCGGGTCCTTAAGAAGGCGAGCTCCGTGGATCACCCATCGCCAACCTTTCGGACCTCACGGACCATCAGTGGTCTGTGGACCCCCGGATGGTGATTGCTGCCCGGGATGGTCGTCAGGCACTGACACTGGGATGTGCATAAAACTCATAGCTCAGGTGAGGGAGGGCCGAGCAAGGGCCAGGCCCAGGTGCCTGGTTCTATGGGGGGACACGAGGCGTGTCAGGGTTCTACAGGTGACATTCGGTAACTATGGACCAATGAATGATCCCTGGGTGTCGAACCTGAATGCCAGAGACACATTTCTGAAATCAGCGCCCTGGCCTGGAGGTCGCTAAGTAAGCAATTAAAGATCAGTTTGAGGGCAAACAGGGATCCTTGCTGAGCAGGTAAAGTCCGATAGACTTCTCTGCAGCGCTGGGTGCACAGCTCATTTCTAGTTTCATAAAGACGCTGGACACTATTTTTGAAAAAGCAAATCCACAATGACCACCATGACTGCATGTTGCTGCCTGTCCTAAAGCCTAAGTAAGCTGCGAGCGGGGCGATTTCTCTCACATGGGCGGGTGGGGGTGAGGGCTGACTTGGACAAATATTGATTTGTGTTTAATGCAGGCCTTTACACTGTTGTTGGCTAAGATTATGAAAACAGTGGCGGCGGGAGGGGCCTTTTTAAAAAACCTTGATTTTTTTTTCTGAAGAGATATGCACGTGAACATTTTATTGATTTTATATGAAAATCTCCTGGCACTTTTTCCCTTTGAAAAGTTTAGCTGGTCCCCCGCCCGCCGCCCCCCACAGCAGAGGATGCACGCGTGCAGGACTCCCTGTCGGGAGAGGGGTTGGGGTCCAAAGGAAGTAAATGGACTTTCTATTTTTTCATTTTAAAATTACATATTTCAAATTTTTACTAATTTTTAAAGTTCCACCACAATTTATAATGGTTTAGATGAGAATAATTTGAATGTTCACCTCATAGCATTACGCCAATTGCAGCAGACACACTGTGAGGACCCGACCCGCCTTCTAACCTAGAAGGCAGTTCACTGGCGACCTGCCGCTCACACTCTCACGCAGGAGATCGTCATACAAAGTCACTTAGGTCCCCTCAGTTTCACATTTTTGAAGACATTTTTTTTCTTCTAATTTTTTTGAAGAAATCTAGTTTCCAGTCTATAAAAGAGCTCTAGAGCAGGGGTGGGCAAACTTTTTGACTCGAGGGCCACAATGGGTTCTTAAACTGGACCAGAGGGCTGGAACAAAAGCATGGATGGAGTGTTTGTGTGAACTAATATAAATTCAAAGTAAACATCATTACATAAAAGGGTACAGTCTTTTTTTTTTTAGTTTTATTCATTTCAAACGGCCGGATCCGGCCCGCGGGCCGTAGTTTGCCCACGGCTGCTCTAGAATGAAACAAGGACTAGGCAGTGCTGCTCGGTGTTTAAAACAACAACCCCAGCAGCTGGTGTGTACGAAATGAATGCACTATGGCAGCGAGTCCTTGCGAGCCTACTTACATAGCTGTCAATATTATTTCTTACTATTGTACAGGTGAGCAAGCCAGAATTTAGGGAGGTTTGGTAACGTGCCTGAGGCCACAGAAACCTAATCAGAATACAGGTGACCCATCTGAGATTTCCTGCTCTATACCCCTGACTTTACAGTCAAGCCCTACTTACATTTTTAAGGGGATTTTGCAACTGACTCTAGGTGTGTTCTCATTCAGGCCACAGTCTTTGCTGAATCCCATTTTTTTAAAATACATTTTTATTGATTTCAGAGAGGGAGGGAGAGGGAGAGATAGAAACATCAATGATGAGAGAGAATCATCGATCGGCTGCCTCCCTACTGGAGATCGAGCCCACAACCTGGGCATGTGCCCTTGATTGGAATCGAACCTGGGACCCTTCAGTCCACAGGCTGACACTCTACCCACTGAGCCAAACCAGCCAGGGCTGGATCCCATTTTTAATACGAGGTTGTGTCCATATAACTTCCTTAGCGTCGTCTTCCCAGCGGAGGGGGTGGGGGTGGGGGCCGCACTGACACCAGCAGGCTCCTGCTCCACAACAGCCCCATTCCGATCAATGTCTCCTGATGCTGGCCCATCGATGTTTGAAAGATGTCAGGTTCTACGGAAACTAATTTTTCTAATTTCTGGATTCTGATGGAAGGCTCTTCACAACTGCTGTAGTTTTATGACTATCCAGGCATCAAAGTAACAGGACGGAGTTGTCGGAGCTTCGATGGTAGGTGTCTGGCTTGGCTTGTGCACAGCGTGCATTCCTCTGTGCGCCACAGCTGATTCCGAGAGTCACTGCCAAGTGCCCATGTGCCTAATCTCATATCTGAACCTCGGACCTCTTCAAGGGCAAGGCGGGCCAGAGCCACAGAATGACGTTAAAGGGGCAAACAAAGCAGGTTTCTAAGTGACGCCGCCTTGTGAACAGACCAGTGTGTGCTGGACTTGCTGGTTCAATGTGGACCCACAGCTGGATCTCTATGCTTCCTGGCTCTTCAGGCGGCAGTGCAGGTGGCTGAGGGCAGAGCTGCAGCCCTGGCAGCCGAGCCACACCTGCTCTTCCCTCTTATGCCAGCAGATAGTGTAGCACCTGGACGGTCCCTGTCTGTGTGGATGTCCGTTAAACAAACAGCTGTACTTGCACCACACGTACACTGCATTCTATCTTCTTTGTTGTCAATCCTCACCTGAGGATCTTGTTTCCATTTGTTTTAGGAGAGTGGAAGGGAGGTGGAGAGACACAGAGAGACATATCGATGTAAGAAACATCTGGCTAGTGCCCACCCAGCACACTGAAGACACATGGATTGGTTGCCTCCTGCACATGCCCTGACCAGGGCTGAGGATCGAGCCTGCAACCAAGTATGTGCCCTTGACGGGGATCAAACATGTGACCCTTCAGTCCGAGGGCAACACTCTAATCAATGAGAAAACTGGCCAGACCTATTCTCCTATCTTTTAAAGGTCTTTTTATTTCAAACCTTCCAAGAGAACCCTAACTGAACCCTCTCTCTACTGGCCAAGAATGCTCCTCTGTGGTGTGGCCCAGGGGACACTGGCACAGCCACAGACAGTCATCGCGACTGAATGGGGTGCTGCTGGCCTCATAGCTGGAGGCCAGGCTGCTGCTGAGCCTCCTGCAGTGCACACGCCAGCCCGCAACACGGAAGCATTAGTCCCGAACGCCATGGAGTCAAGGCTGAGAAGTTTCAGAGGATTTACCATTTATTCAGTCAACAGATTCACTGCACACCTCCCAGCTGAGGGAGCAGAAAGAGCCCTTGTCCCCGCAGAGTTTAGAACTGGCTGTCTGCTCTCTGAATCCCCTACTCTCGAAGGCAAAGGAACAATGTTTAAATCCTCTTTAATCTGCCTGGGACAGGGGCAGCAGGGGAAACAGCTGAGAGGAATAGACACATAGACTTGGAGCATTCGTGGGAGATATAGGCAGAGCTGGTGAAAACCACAGCTGGGGAATCAGGACCTGTTTTCACACATGGAGCTCTGTGCCCCCTCCCTGTGCTCAGCGGGGGCTGAGGCTGCCCTGATGAGCAGGTGAGGAGTTTGAACTGTTTCTCCAGGAGTTGTCTCTGATTTAATGGTATTATTGTGCTAATGGCTTCCTTTTGTTGAGCATATGCGATATGAAAGGGTTTTACATGTATTATTTCAAGCCTTTACAGCAATCCTGCCAAGTTGATATTATTATCCTCACTTTATAGATCAGGAAATTAAGGCTTAGTGAGCCTGTCTCTCGGCAGACCTGGGTCCTTTCTCTGGTCTGCCTGGCTTGGTGAGGACGCCTCTCGGTGAAAACC